TTACATTTCATTTTATATGGAAATGAGCTGGCGTGCCTCATGACAAGAGTATAACTGCTATGCATTGCCTGAGTTATTGGGCAATTACTGTACACTGGATATTTTGCAAACAAAGATCATTACCTGGGCGTGCTCGCCTACCATAGTTTGGTACATATGCTTTGTCGGTGCAAATATAATTTGATATAAGCTGTATATGTCATTCTGTTGACAAATTTTAATCTTAGAATGATAAAATGATGGACGTTATAAATACTGTATATAACTGCATGTAACTGGTGTATATATTAGGTTATAATTATGAAATTTGCTCACAAAAGTGGTATAGATTTAATTAAATTATATATATTTGTAGTGCTTAATTCTCCCAATACTATGTTTTGGATAGCCAGCATGGCTCTCTGAGGATTACCATTGATTAGTGTACGAATATATTTGACGAAGATGTGCATTTATATAGTAACACAGGGAAAATATTGATCAATACTACTGCACAGCCTTTCTACATTGACATCATCTTAAAAGAGTACTATATTAATATATTAGTTGAAAGGCAGGCAAAAGGGGACTGATAGAAGACATCTGATGATTCAATTATGTCATCATATATTGTTTATCATTGTACAGTTTGGTAGGTTCATTTGACAAACAATTTTCAACTAAGATAGTTCATTAAATCAATTTACACACAGTATCACTATATATATATCTATTGATTTAAGTTTGGGGTCATGTGTACCTATAGTTATACTTATAGAATTTTAAAACTCAGTGCTTGTTGTGTGTTAGTTTTACTGGTTTCCTGGTGACAGGGCAATATTCTCAGTAATTTAGAGTGTGGGCTAGTCACCATGCAAATATGCAATTCACATCAAAGGCATCTATTGCTGGGGGTGAATAAAGTTGACATACTGATGCCAACAACACTGTCCATACAGAGTAAGGTTAGCAGCATAAGACAGAGTTGTATATAAATAAGTTTACCAACTAGAGCACAAAATACCTTTATGCACCATTCTAATGCTAAAAAAATTTACTCATGGAACATTGCAAATTAGTGGAAATGAATAAGCCTCAGGGAAGGTGGTTAAGAAACCTAATAACACTGTCTTTTGAGTCCAACATTGCAACTAGTGGATCACACTGTATACACCTTTGTTACACGTATGTGTGTATTTGCGTTGTCGTGATTTTTGCCGAAATGTTTTTCAATAGAAAAGTTAAGGCTACAAGAAGCACAGTAGTAAGTACTGACTATTTTTTAATAGAGATTTATGTACCGCTGCTGCTATTACACTTGTACAAGCAAATATTTTTTCTTATATGGAAAAATTATGTTGTTTTTGCGATATATAGGTTCAAGTTTTTTACGTGCTTTCCAAAAATGCAGCAAATAATTTTGTGACTCTGATGTATGAATTGGAACAAAAGAGTTTGCTCAGAACGCAGGAAATCGCATTTCCGAGGTTCTAGATTTCAAAATTTTTTGATTTCTTATGTATGCATCAGTCAGCTCAGGAGCTGGATCCGCCCCTGAAGGTATGTCAATGTGCATTGGTGTTATAGTTGATTTCCCCATAAGTATGTGTTGGTGTATGTTGCATACTATGTACTTGTTTAGTTTCACTTATAGTTACACTAAAATAAGAAGCTTATAGGAATATATTATTTAGCTACTTATAATATGGGTTTCAAATAACTGTCTTTATAGATAAGATTATCCTACTTAATGGTGGGTCACACTCACAAAGATATGGATCAGGTAAGAGTGGGATCATCTATAGGAAGTTTGAGATCTTTTATAAATCCCCTCGTTTTCATTATTTTACTATAATACATCAAATAAAATAAAATAAAGTACATTTTTATTGGGGATATATGAATATTAATAAATATGTTGAAAATTTCAGATGTTCAGTAGAATATCTCCCGCATTATCACAAAGATCTGCCATAACCATACGTGCACTCCACACAGTCATACACAACGCCTTTACCCCAGAACCAATAACTGCAGACTTGAACAACTTGTTGGACATCAAATTGTGATTATCGCCACATATAAAGGGTTTAAAAAACCATTCCCGGCCTCATGCATTTTTTGGTTTGTGAAAGGCAAAGACGAGAATGTGGAGATGACGTATAGAAACTGGTCGACATCAGGCAAGAAGGTATGGATAGCAAAAAAAGCTCCATTAAAGGTGTTGAAGAAGGAACCGAAAGGAACACCACCAGTGCTGCAGCCAGAATATACAAAATGTCCAACAGTGGAAGACCTAACATGTGGCTTAGAACAGACAAAAGCTCGATTTAGGCCAGATGAGGTAGACTGGTGGAAAAAGTATATTGAACAGGAGGAAGTAGAGCGAGAGCGATGGGTAACCTTGTCAAAGGAAAGAAAGAGATATGTTAGTGATTGCCCAGTTATAAGCTACAAATACGTGGAAGTCAAGGAGGTTCAGGAAGATGATGAAGAGTCGAAGAAACGTATTGCAGAGTTAGAGAAACTGCTTGAGAAAACTAACAACTTTCCAGAAGTAAGTGTTTTGGATGATATAACAAAGTTTGAATGTCTTCGTTAACATCAAAACATGCACTGAGTGGTGTGTGCACATTCTTAGCATTCAAAATGAATTAAAAGGAAACTTGCGCGACTTGCAAACCATTTTCCAAAAAAAGGCAAATTATAGGAAATGCGAAGATGAGCTACAGAACCTGACGCTTAGAGAATACAAAACATACTCCTAATAAAAGTGACTTACGTGTGCTTTCCAAATTTCCATGAGTGCTGATATAACTGTATTATATATCAATATGGAAATATTTTAAATATTTTTTTATAATATAGCACAATGAAACATAAAGAAAGGCTCTTAGCCAATCAGCATACATAATTTACAAATGCTATATTATAATCTATTATATCATATCTATGTATTTTAGATATTGCATGATTAAATTGGTCTAATTGGTAAAATCAGCAACGACATAGAGATCTGGTCAATATCTATTTCATGAAAGCCGTTCCAAGCTTGACCAATAGAGTAATGTCTTAAAGAAAACATTTCCGAAACCGGCAAATAAAACAACGCATTAAAGAAAACCTTTCCAAAATGAACCAATATGTTGGAACGTGAAACAAAACTTTCCAAAAATAAGTAAATAGCAAAGCGTTTTCAAGCTAATATATCTATAGATGCTGTTTTTCTGATTTCAACTTTCTGAACGACACATTGCAAGTATAGCGGTCAATGCGGACAATGAGTACTTTATAACGAAAATGTACATCGTGTTATATAACCAGCAGTTTAAAAGCCCAGACAGAAAGGACAGAAACTGTTGAAACAATAGTAACAACTTTATAAGGCGGCAGACTATTGCAGCGATGCCACCGTTTACCGACGCATCACGATGCATACTGCAAGATATAAATACGTAAGATCGGCAGGAATATGTTCTCATATGCAGAATTGGAATTTCGTACAGGTACATTGTTTACTCTTTCTCTATTATATGTAGTAGTGACACTTCACAAAAGCAATAACTAACATGATTTGTGATTTTTCTTTCCCGCCATGAACGAGATGGCGCAAATGTCGAAGACAATTACTGTGTTTATTGAATATATTGCGTGTAGCTATACAGTGTGTATCAAAATAATTCGAATTTGGCGTGTAATAACACAGAATATATTTGACAAATTCGGTTGGTTTTTACACCATTGTTAAGTTCATTTATTTACCTTTCAAATGACATGCTGTACGCGTCATTTAGTTGGAAAATGAAGGAGTATTACTTTGACAAAAAAAGTCCATAAAAATCACAATTTTCCGCCGATGGGAATTGGACATTTTTTCTTTCAAAGTTAGTCCCACAAGGCTTTGAAATGCTAATCATCACTGAAAACTAAAATGCAAATTTAACGCGAATTTCTTCTCGTTCAACATGTTGAAGGCATAGGAGCTTAAATCTCTTCAAATGAACACGAATTTATGTAAATTTTGCTACATAACAGTTTGTTGATTAATTAAATTTGCATTATCTTTTGTTTGTACGTCTCACTTCGAATTCCCATCGGTGGAAAAATTTGATTTCGAGCAACCAGTTTTAATTAACACACGATTTCTTGGTCATTTTTTATCTTATTGATATAAGAACGATATAATCGGAAACCTAATAGGCTATTCTTTATTGCCATATAAAAATTATATGGTTTACTTTAGTATTTTATAAACAACAGTCTGTCAAATTTGGATTCGAATTATTTTGATACACACTGTATAGTGCCATACGTAATACATTCATTCAGCTCAGTTTTACTACAAATTAAATACTACAAGGCTATGCCAACCATGGTGTGTCTATATAACAACTATATTATTATTATCCTAGTATCATGAAGTGTGCTTAACATTATTTGCAGGGATTCGAAATATGATACGGCAAGTTGAATACAGCACATGTGGTGATATGCAAAACATTCACTGGATGAATAAATGTCTTTTATATATCTCTTGTAGGCAACATTATGTTAAAGCATGCACGGTTTAAGACAATATTCAAACAACAAATTTATGGCATTGATCATTTTTTAACCGACTGTAATAAAGGAGGGCAGGTAGTTGCGGGTGACAGGCTATATTTATATATCCTATGTTTCGACAAGTATAAAGTTTTCGTGACAAAGCAATGAAAAACAGAACAGTCTCACATTTTATCGTACAGTTATCTATATTGTATAATTAAATATAATAAAAGATATCAGTCAAGTTGAGAATTAATACGACATATTATGAAATTGCGATGTTCCTTATTGGTTGTTATTAGTATCATAATATATGTTAATTATTCATCTTTGGGAGTCAAACTTTCAGCTCATAATATGATCAACAGGATAATTATTAATATAAAGTGTCAGCTAGTTGACAAGTATATTGATGAGAACCTTCTGTGACTATATCAAGCTTAAATCTTAATAGGAAATGACTTGACAGATCTAAATATCATACTTGAAATATTTTACCTAAGGTTATAGTCATTGGACAGAATCAGTAAACCTTTCCAATAGAATTATTTCTGTTGGCTGAGCTTGGGAAAGGTTTCCAATTCTCAACACATGATTGGTTCTTACTGGAATGGCTTTCTCACAGTCTAAGCATACACCCAATTTGTCTGGTTTAATTTGGTTTAGTCTGGTTTAATTTGGCAGGTTGTTAGTTATATTTTTTCACTTATGGAAAACTGTGTCTAATGCATCTTTCAGTAGGACTCTATGGTGATACATGTACATTTATATAACAAGTTACAGTTGGTTGTTTATGAGGAATTGTCACCACTGTACACTCCCACTGACCCACATTCATAATTTTTGTAACAAACATTGCAGCAAATGTGACCTGGTGATAAAGGAGTTATAGCCTTATTAAATTTATTGTAGCTAGCTACACGAAAACACCCAGATGTTTGTAGGATTTCTCTCATTTCATCTTCAATGTGTGCAACTTGCTGACCATAATAAAATAGCACAGTATGTGCTAATGTTCCATCTTATTCGGCTTGCCAAGCTCCCTGGTGAAATTCTAAAAGATTCCTTGGTGGACCATACACTACAACATACTTACCTGGAATTTACACCCATACTTTTACCTTCGGATGTATCTTCTTTGCAACAGTCTTGTTTGAATCTCTTTAAAAAACACTATTTAGAGTGTTATTTGTGAGTGTGTATCTTCAAATCTGCATCCTTTTATCACAGTATTTCCATTTCTGGCCCGATTACGAGTTAATTTGCCAAAACAGGTGTTCCTTACAAGAGAACAATGTAACAAAATAATTTACTGTATGAACACTGAAAATGCATTCACACAAATGCCGAATTAACATGGTGTTAATTATGCCTGCATGACAGGATCAATGACTTGTTCCCCTATATTTTTGGTTGGAAAATGGGCCTTCTTCATCAATGTGCAGAATCTAAGTGATTATGGTATTGTTTATGAATATGATCTTCTAGTCTTCTGCCAAGTACTGAGGAGCAAAAGATAAAAGGATCATGGCATGATCCCGGCCACTTTGCTACCACATTTTGTAATTTTCCTATAGAAATATACTGATATATGAACTCATTTAAATATTTGTAAATAAGTCACAGCTTTCTTAGCCTCGTTAGACAGCTTTATTAGACACTAGAATTGACGTTTTTGAATTCATCAATAAACCAGAATGTTGTAGTACCAGAGTCATGTTGCCGTTTACACATGCAAAGACAAATCCGATAGTTAATCTTGTTGGTTTCATGCCATGTCTGGAAACTTTGTACGCGGAAAATTTGTGGGAACTTCATATATCTTGTGTAAGTGGCTTTCCATAAAGAATCTGAATCAATTTGTTCCGGTGTATGTTTTCTAAATATTTTGCTATTACATTTAACCACCAAACAGGGTCAAAATATTGATTAATAGCTGTCTGGGCTGTCTAGGGTTGTTTACCATTTACATGTAAAACCCATCCGGTTTGAAATTGTGCTAATGGTAAGCAAAATTTCGGATAGAAAATCCCATTCGGATTATTCTCTTTCCATTTAATAATTTCAATTGTTAAATCGCGAAGAGCCTGGAACTGGTGAAAAAGTTTTAAAAATGTAAATGGAACAACATTTACTGGTTGAAACTTTCCAATCGGTAAGAGAGGACAAACCATTTATTCCGGAAAAGTTCCGGTTGGGCCGTCGAAATATGCTTGTTCCATTTACTTTCCGTATGGAATCACCGGAATTTCCATGTAAATGGTAAACAACCTAGTGTAAACATTTTGTTGTTATCTGTTGATTTAATTATATTGATTAAAATTGAATTGAGCATTATATATTGAATTAGCATGGCCTGTAATGCATATAAATATAGTCAACCTCCCATAGTTCCTGCCAGAGTATACCCCTTACTCTAGTTATAAGGGCTGTTCAAATGAGTCAGGCTAGCCCGGTAAACTGGCCTGACTAACAGGTGCAAAGATCCAGGCTTCTACACTGTTTTTATGTATACGTTTTGGAAATTTCATTCACATGGGGACAGTGCATGTTTTATTCCAACTGAGGAATGAACAAAATTAAGACTTTTTAATAATGGAGCAGTTGCCAACAATAAAAAAGTCTCTTATGAAAAACAAATATCACGTTCCCACCCAAGTCACACTTGAATTTTTTGGTAGCACTTGCTTGGTTGGCCTGCCAGAACTGGCAAAGCAGGCCAGGCTGGCAGGATTGAAAGCAGAACAAGCCCCTAAGATTGATCCAGAACATTGTGAACCACACAAATGTCAAGTAACTAAAGTTAACCTAAAGAACATTATTTCATTTTTTATGTACTTTGACACCTTTTAAAATGTATTTATGTAATTTCAAAACAGGAAGAATTTTTTAAGACAATATATAATTAAATTCTTAACTGGTAATGTAATGTACAAGTCAAATCCAACCAAGATCAGGCCCCCCCCCCGGGCAACCCGCAGGGAATTTGACTTTTGAAAAAATAATTGGTCAAATGCCTGTCCAAACAGGCAAAAACCACAGTCAAATGCCCTGCGAGCTTGAAAAATATGCCCGGCCACACTGGGATTCGAACCTACGACCTTTGGAATACTAGCCCAATGCTCTTCCAACTGAGCTACACGGTCAGGACGGTTTGAGTAAGTGATATTTCGAAACAGTCTAGTTCCTTCAATACCAATGTGTTCTAGTAATATGAATTTTTTCTGTGTTGGTGTTGTGTACTCAGGTGAATAATATGTTTGCGATGTTACTCTGAGTGCATATCCACACCGGGCGAGCTTGAAAAATATGCCCGGCCACGCTGGGATTCAAACCTACGACCTTTGGAATACTAGCCCATTCAATACTCGAACCGTCCTGACCGTGTAGCTCAGTTGGAAGAGCATTGGGCTAGTATTCCAAAGGTCGTAGGTTCGAATCCCAGCGTGGCCGGGCATATTTTTCAAGCTCGCCCGGTGTGGATATGCACTCACAGTAACATCGCAAACATTATTCACCTGAGTACACAACACCAACACAGAAAAAATTCATATTACTAGAACACATTGGTATTGAAGGAACTAGACTGTTCCGAAATATCACTTACTCGAACCGTCCTGACCGTGTAGCTCAGTTGGAAGAGCATTGGGCTAGTATTCCAAAGGTCATAGGTTCGAATCCCAGCGTGGCCGGGCATATTTTTCAAGCTTGCCCGGTGTGGATATGCACTCAGAGTAACATCGCAAACATATTATTCACCTGAGTACACAACACCAACACAGAATAAATTGAACAAGTATTTTAAGATTGCATATTGTATTGTATATCTGTGATTGATATTTGTGGTTCAGAAGCAATTTTTAAACTATCGAAAAGACGTAAAATAGAAAACTGCTGATCGCTAGAGTGTACACATATTTTTGGGGAAAACCGCCGAGCAAGTTGTTGTCAAGTGGTCAATGCCCGACGGGGCCGTCAAATGCCTGACTATTTCTGAGGACACACTGTATGTGTTTGGGGATACACATGGGTATTACAGTCAAACCGGATGTTCGTTTCCGTGGAATATTGCAACATTGCTGTCAATCAGAAAATATTCATTGGCTAGTTCGTCTTAGCAATTACCAATCAGTTGAGCAAAATTGCAACCTCCAATATTCCGCGCAAAATTTAAATTTCCCATTTGTAATTATCCAAAGCAAAGTGCTAAAATGACGACTCACATAGCAAATAAGACTTCTTTACCAACCCGAGAGCGCATTATTGCTTTATGGGCGGAAGGTGAAAGCAATAACAATATTGCTACACATTTTGGCATAACTAGGCATACGGTATCGAATATTGTTGGAAACATGATGGAAAGAGGCCATTTACTAGATATAAAACCAGGAGGGAAACCTAGAGAGAGAGCCAAACCGAACATAGTAGAACACATCGAATTTCAAAAGCTATCAAAACCAAGCACATCTGCCGTCGAAATACAAGCGACCTTGCTAAACGATAGGGTATGTACAGTTGACAATCTTCCAGCAAAATCAACAATTGGGGATATAATTAAAAACGATCTGAACTATACATACAAAAAACGTACAGTAATACCCGAAGAATCGCTGACTGAAGTCGTTATATAACGTACATTGCAGTACATCATGCAGATGAGCGAACTTGATCCTTCATGAGTCCACTTCGATGAATCGTCTGTTAAAACGACAACTGGAAATCGTATATATGGTCATGCACTAAAAGGTAAACCGGCTATAGAGGTCAAATGCTACACTTCCAATTGCAATTACACTGTTAACTTGTTGCAATGTATATTTGGAATAATCCAATGGCCTAGAAATGCTCGCGTTTTTCAACAAATCGCTTGATATAGTCAATGACGTTTACGGAAATCCTGTTCTTGCTAACAGAGATACAGTTGTTATGGACAACTGTGGCTCTTTCACCACGGACGATTTGCTGAGGCTTAATTGCGAAGAATGTTAGAAAACAGAGTAGTGACATTAATCTTCCAACCACCGTATTCGACTCATGAAAGCTTTCATGAGAAAACAAACATTTTTCAGTAAATGTTACCGAAATGGCGATACTATGCGGACTAGAAGAAGTCACACCAGAAATCTGTCAAATTCTTCGAACACTGTGGATTTCTAGTTTAAACTTTTTTGCTAAGAGATATAAAGGAGTATTTAGGATTCATTTTGTATTTAGGGTTAGAGTTTATAAGTTTTGTAATATGACATCACATACATTTGTTCATACTTGTAGTATTTATTTACTGAATAACTGTAAGGTTTGTGCTCGGTTTTGTGTTCAGGATTACAGTATAATGAAGTATACGCAATTTTACTGATAAAACATTTATCTAATTCTCGCATTTGTATTTCCAAACACTTGTTTCAAATCTCTAAAACTTTAGAGGGAAAGCGAATTTTAAATTGATCATAACAGAGGAAACGGAATTCCTATACAAGTGCATAAACTAAAAATAGGCTTCACAAAATATACAAACAATTTATGGTATTACTGTATTAAACAGACACAACATTTTTCATTTACACATCAAAATTTATATGAAGGTTCTCAGTTGTTAAATCTTCAAGTTCTTTTGAAATTCTTATGAGTGCATCAAACAATATTACTGTAAACAATATAAAAGTTTGAATATAAATTGTATAAAGGTTTATAAACATATTACTGTAAAGTTTGCAACATTTGCAAATTGCAATTTGCAATCATATAATTTACAATTTGCAAGTGTTGATTTCCCCAAGTGAAATTACCTTTATACTTTTTAAACTGAACACAACTGATGATAAAATGGAAACAAAATGAGAATGAAACAAGAAGAATCCCAAAGCTAAAAAGTCGTAATATATTACCTATAATGTGTCTATATCACTGTAATTATAACTTGTCGACATTTTCTGCAACACTTGCCAAGTATTCCAACGAACATGTTTCAGACCTAGGCGCACTATAAATGTAATTGTTTTTATTTGTTTCATTTGTATTATTTCGATCGTCGATTGCTCCTACAGTTCCTTCTCTTTGACTATTATACATGCCGTTATCTGAAGGCACGGCCCCTTCAATGAGTTTTGTTGAAGATGAATTATGCCGTTGACTCTTTTGACACTTGCGTTTTTTCTTGCCGGTACAGCGGTGTTTTCATTTTCGAATTGTACTCATCGTGCCTTTGTTCACATACATCTGAACCACTTGAGAAACTATTGGAATCGTTGTCAGAAGAACTAGAACTACTGCTGTATTTTCTCTGACGACTTTTCTTAGACTTTTTCACTTTGACAGGCGAGGAAATGTTGTTTAAGCCGGTTTTCCATTAAGCGGAATTTTGCACTGAAAGTCGTCAAAACGAGATAAACTTTTGAATATTCATCAGGTACTGCCATTTGCGTTCAAGCTTGCAGCGTGCAAATTTTTTCACGTTTGTTTACGTTTTAAACGCAATGTTCCAGGGGGTAATCACACCCTTTTGACCAATGAAACTAATTGTTTGAAGCATGCAACTGTTATTATCAGTGACATAATATATCACGTTTTGATTGGTGCAACGACATGTTTTGATTGAACAATAGCTACATTTGTACGTTTCAAAAGTACAATTTATTCATTTCATACTAGTCTGCTTTTATACTGTTATTATGGAAACCTTTAGAGTAAACAAGCTTGGAAGAACTTTCACGCCAGGGAGATCTTTAAGCGTGGATATGTGCATGCATATAATTGATAGAATATTAGCTGAGGGTGGAGACCGATTAAGCGGATATATACCAGTAACGTATATGTTTCTTTCCCAACAATTGAGCGTGTCACCGAACACCATAAAAAATATCTGGGGTCAGTATTGTGAAGATTTCAATGTGACTGCCAGATCAACAGGTGGTTCCAGAAATAACAAACTCAATCAAGATGACCTTGAGCTTATTGAGACATTAAAAGTTGAGAAACCGTCAATGTCCCTTGCGGAATTAGTTGATGTAGTTTCTCAGCACCCAGGATTGCAAAATGGTGTCTGCAAAATCAGCGTGTCTGCAATCTCACGAGCAATACGTTCTGGTCGCTTGCCCACTGGTCAGCGTTATTCTTGAAAAAAACTCACAACATTAGCTTTGGAGCATTTTACCCCAGATAATATTTTGTATACACAACTTTTCATTGATTACTTAAGCTCTAAGGATCCTTGGAAAATCAAATTTTTCGATAAAGCAGGCGTGAAACTTCCCTACGTTGGTTCACGTTGTTACGGTCATAGTCCATTAGGAATGCGATGTGTGGAGGTTGTTAGAAAATGCGAGAGTCCGAATATCACACTGAACCTTTTGGCGTTGTTGAATGGACCTGAATATTACAACTTGATCAATGGCCCAACAAATACCGTTTGTTTTCTTGAGTTTCTTTCAAGAGGCATCTGAAGCAGTCAATATATTCAGTGGCCGTCCATGCCTAGAAGTGAGTGATATAGTTGTTATGGACAACCTTTCTTCCCACCACCTCGAAGGAGGCGAAATTTTGGAAAATTGGCTTCATGAAATGGGTATTGAGTTGTTGTATACGCCATCGTATTCACCAGACTTAAATCCAGTCGAATTTTGTTTCAGTAAAATAAAGGGCCAGTTAAATGGTTCGTTACAAGCTTTAGTTCACACCAACATTAAACTGGTGATAATGGAAGCAGTCGATACGATTTCCATTGAAGATATGAAAGGATATTACGAGGCTACATCGTATTTATTTGTGTGAATTTCTTGAAATATGTGCACAAATATAAACGAACGAGTTATATACCACTGAGCTATAAATAGAAAATAATTTGTACTTGATGTTGCAACAAATTTTCTTGATATTTGATAGATCGACTTTTATATATGAGTTGACATTGATGATATGTATGTTATCGACAATTGTATGTTCAGTTTTGAGAACCGTTTTTAAAACAAACAATTCACCGCAAAATGTTAGGCGAAAACAAATATTTTATCAGGGACCAGTTGTATGAATGCCGGATAACACTCCACTGCACACTGGATAGTAATTTTTTCAACCATTGTAAAATGCTTAAAAAGTGATGAAACTACGAATATGGAGACCACAATTAATAATTAAAAGGAAACTTTATATACTATATAGTTTAATTGGGATATAACAATTGACGGCAAAGTTAAGAAATTAAGCTTGTAATTCAAAATTACTATCTGGTGGATAGCTCATGCATGACACAGATAGACCAGCACACACTTTATACACATTGTAAATTTCCAGCTTACTTTAAATGAAACTTAATTTGTTGTCAGAAAGCTGGTCACTTTTCACATATCGGTTTATGTAGACACAATTTTCTACACTAGAATTCATATGCAGGGCGTCGACCTATTTACTATTGCATAAAAAGATGTTTTGATATTTCAACGTTTTTTCTCAAGTCAAGGACACTATAGCTAAATTCATGCTATGTTAAAAATGTGTATATTTAATACTGACAATGAAAATTGTCTCACACTGCGTGTTACACTACATACATGTATTAATAAACAAAATTTGAAATTTTTACTCTAATCAAAAAAGTTAATACTTTAACACAAATATACATAGTATAAATAATTTAACAGGAACAGTATAGAACGATCTACAGTTAAACACGAGTCAACCTTGACAGGTCCTGCTTTTTTCAAGACATTCAAGCTTTACTCTAATGAAAAAAGTTAATACTTTAGTCTTTAACACAAATATACACAGTGTAAATAATTTAACAGGAACAGTATAGAACGATCTACAGTTAAACACGAGTCAACCTTGACAGGTCCTGCTTTTTTCAAAACATTCAAGCATATAGACAATTTGACGATTATTTATCACCATACAAACAATAATGCCCATTCTAAGCAGTCTGCAGCTTGACTCTTGTTATACCTGCAACTTATCCACTTCAAGTCATCACACTATGAGAGGTTCTTTTTATGAATACTTTACAAATTAAATATAATATGAACTTATTAATATGAACTTGATGTGAAGTTACAAATACAATGTTTATCATTCATGTGAAAGTCCGTGCAAGTTAAGAAGTAATGTTGCTGCCTCTTCTTCATCCCCCGAAGAGGTGTTCAAACTTACTGGTGTTGCATTACTTACATTAACTGGCATGACTGAATCATCCATTGGTAAATGTGTGTCGTTCGGGGCCATGGTCAAATTCTGACTAGCTGTGATAGTGGACGAAGTCGAAGAGCGTTGTTGCAATTCTCCCATTAGGCGGGAAGTTTGTCGAAGGCTCTCTCTTAGAACAATTGCTCTTTTTCTTCGTTCGCATTACTTGGGGCAGTGAAAATAATGGGTGAAACATTCTCTCTCAAAGGTTTGGTTTCAGTGGCTGACGAACAATCCTCTCCATGCCACATAGGGGGACTAGGAAAATGAACGCCATGTCGTTCTAAATGAGGTTTAAATGGATTTCCATGTTTACGCTGAGTTTGTTTCGCCCTTTGATATTCCGTTGTGGGATTATTTTCTTCCAAAGCTATTGAAAGAAGTTCCCCTACGTCTTGCTTGGCTGGAATCTTGCCCCCCATGTGGTCTTTACAATATTTCTCGACTAAATATGTGTGTTTTCTCAACAAGGTCCAGTTCTTAGAACCGTTAATAAAGTAGTCTTCTTTTCTTGACTGAAACAAGTCTGTTTCAATTCTGTGACTGATCCTGTCTTTATTTGTCGCAATGGCAGATTTTTTGTTTTGTAGTTCAGTTCTAAGTTTAATCAGTTCGCTTTCATGCTTTTTTATTGAGATTTTAAGTTCCTTCAAATTTGATTCCCCAACATGGAATTTCTCTTCTCCGCATTTAAATACTGACGAACAATTTTCAAAATCACATGATCGTGATGTATGACCTAAACGCATGTGACAATTTTGACATATCTTGCCATCTGATGGGGATTCGTGATCACATGCGCGTGCAAAAGTGTGCTGCACAGCTCCGTATTTTACGTAGATTTGTATCTTATGTTGGACATTTTTATATAAGATTATTGTTGAATCTGGTATGTAAAGTGTTTGTCTATGGATGTACTGGATATCTTCGTGTTTTACTGTCTAATGGAAAAGTATCTTTGGAAAATGTGTGTTTATGTATTGAGAATTTGTGTGTTTTTGGTTCTTCAGTATGCTTACGTAAAACCGTTACCTTTGCGCAACCGTTTGCGCACGCAAGCAAATAATGGACACGCGCACAAACATCATGACGCAAGCATCAACCGTCAAACATTGATCGCGCGAAGGAGGAAAAGAGGGACTAGGCACAAGCTATCAAAGAAATTAATGGTACTCAGCTTTCTAGTTACTTTCTGTGTTTTAATAGTGCGAGAAGAACTTTCTAACAACACTATATATGTTTTATCAAAATCTCAGCAACTCTATCAAATAAACTGTGTGAATTCGAGAACAAAACTGTATGGTAATTTTGCAAAAAGGAAGTTCTCGCATAGTCGTGTTGCATATTATTCAAATTCTGTTGCTTCAAGGCAAATTCTGTTACTCTCTGGTGACATTGAGCTAAATTCCGGCCCTAGTACGCAAAGCGTTGACAGTCGCAAAGATTATGTAGACAACTCGTGGCTTTAGACAACTCATCAACAAACCTATGAATTGCACACATCAATATTCGTAGTCTCCGGAACAAACTAGATGATGTGCTGTCAATAACTGAGTCGCACCTTGAAGCAAAGATTTCTAACCAACAATTGAATATTGCAAATTATAAAATAGCTCGAAAGGACAGAGATAATGGCCCCGGAGGAGGTTGCATTGTTTATGTTTCAAATAACATTTGTTGCTCGTGACTTAAATCTCTAGAGACACGCAAAATCGAAGGAATATGGCTTAAACTCACAGTTAGCTCGACCTCGACTATACTAGGAACTGTCTATAGACCTCCGTCGGACTACAATTTCTTCAACAACTTTTATATGGTTTTGGAAAAAGTGTGGAGTAAATTTGGAAAAAGTGTGGAGTAAATTCAGAAATGTGTTAATCATTGGTGATCTAAATGCTGATATAACTCGTTCGAAAAACGGAAAATTGCGTCAACACAAGGTAAAAAACTACTCCGGACATTACATCATTTTAACTACTCTGTAATGAACGACCAGCCAACTAGAGTTACAGCAACATCTTCAACTCTCATTGACCATATAATTTCCAGTACACCAGAAATTATTAAAGAAACAAAATGTTTGGAGTTAGGAATTTCCGATCACATGTTAGTGTACGTTTCGTTAGCAACCAAGGTAAAAAGACCACCAAAGATCATCAACACACGTACCTACAGTAAGTTCAACTCGGAACATTTTCGTAAAGATATCGAAGAAGCACCTTGGTGTGTGTGTTCCGTGTTTGATGATACGGACGATGTTTAATGGGCGTGGGGTCATCTTTTTAACAACATCTGCGAAAGACATGCGCCTTACAGACAAGTCAAGGTAAGACAGAACTCCTTGTCATGGATCACCCCACAAATCTGTAATCTGATGAACCATAGATACAAAACGTTCTTGAGAGCTAAGAGATCGCAAAACCCAGAGTTGTTTGCGGAATACCGTCCGTCATCACCACTACCATCAATCGCATTATGCCCACAGTGATGGATGTCAACCTGACATACGAGTGTGTTACAAGGAGTGCTAAACCTGAAACCTGACAAGGCATGCGGTCCGGATAAGGTTTCACCCAAGTTACTCAAGAACGCTGGTCGGGCATTGATTCCATCTCTACTTTCCCTCCACACATCAAGTGTAATAAGTAACAGCGTACCCGACCAGTGGAAAAATGCCATTGTTTCGTCACTGTACAAGAAGGACGATGAAACAGAAAAGAGTAACTACAGACCCATATCCTTGCTCTGTGTGCCCGGCAAACTCATGGAGACGTGTGTGTCCCAAACCATCACCACCCACCTCGCAGACCATGAGCTTAGCCACACTCATTAATGGACATACAAGAAAGGTCATTCGACAGAGTTACTCTTGGCGAAAATGACCGAAGATTGGAGACGGGCATTAGATGATAACTTAGTGGTCGGTGTTGTCTTTGTGGACTTCCGAAAGGCTTTCGATTCGATCTCTCACCCAATCTTGCTGAGGAAACTTCAAGAGCTAGGTGTATCGGGCAATCTCTGGTCGTGGATAAAGAACTATCTCTCGAATCGCCATCAAGCAACTGTGATCAATGGTCATGTATCGAAGTCAATGCCTGTTAAGTTTGGTGTCCCCCAAGGATCTGTGCTGGGTCCGATTCTCTTCTCGTTATTTTGTAATGATTTGCCAGATATCGATGACTTAAAAGAAGGAGAAATTTACATTATGCGGACGATACCACACTTTATGTCATTGCGCCAAATCATGATTTGGTGGCAAATATTCTGAACAGGATCTTAGGCAAACTTTACAAATATTGCTATGAAAATCGATTGACGCCGCATTCTGACAAAATGGAGTTCATGCTAATGAGTCGAAGGAAGTTTATCGGTCCACTTCAATGCATCAAATTAGGAGGAAACCAGATAAAACAAGTCGTGTTGACCAGATGTTTAAGGCTGCACATTGATTGTAATCTGGGGTGGAGCAGTCATGTCTCGGATTTAATTCTGTCATTTACTCAAAAACTCAATCTACTGTAATCACTGTACTTTTTGCCAATTAATGCAAAGCTAGACTTTTATTTCAAAGTTGTGTTACCTTCCATCACGTACGGAATTTTGATGTGGGGTTCATGTGGAAAGACGTTGTTCGACGAGTTGGAATGAATACATGTCCGGTCAGCGAAAGTTATCTTTGGCCTGGATTGGTACACCTCAGGAAAAGATGTTCTCGCAAAAGTGAAGTGGTTTACGCTGAACAGTATGTTTAAACAACAACTTTTATACTTAGCTTATAAAAACTATTATAATCTGATTCCTGCAATGTTACAGTCTCTATTCATAAAAACTGGCCTTGTCTTAACATAGCTATATATCTTACATCAAAGCTGGTTAATCTCACTAAGAGCACTTAATTAAGCTCCTACTTGCATGTCTAAAGAGTATATTTCGTAGTTATTTCCTAAACAGTTTATGTCTTGGTATTACTGACTGAAAATTAGATAGTCATATATAATATAACAATTGTGTTACAATGTGACGCCATAATAGGTTTAAGTAGTTAATATGTATGAATTGTGTAAAATAGTAGCCTATCTCAGTTATGTGACATGTAATTTGTTGTTCTGTTAGATCATGTAGAGTTCATGTTAGTTTATATTTATATATTGTAGTTAGTTTCACATGCACAACCACATCAGCTATGCTGTAAATTTACTATCGTGTTTAAATAAATGCTTTTATTATTATTATCTGATCTAACCCTTTTGATTCTCGTTTGAATGCTATTTTCCTTATCTTTTAAACTCGCTATTAAATCCAACTTCGATTTTATTTGCAATTCAGTTTTTTCAACATATCGTTCGAGTGGCATTTTCTCACTGTGTGTATCCACTTGCTTGATCTGCAATATCATCATCGCTATCAGTTTCAGATTCTTCATCGTCATTTAGAGTCGGCATAGAAGGAATTGGCAACCTATTTTCGAGACGTATTTGCTTTTTGGCTTGCACTCCACGTGGACGTTCGGTGGCCCTGCAAGCAATTCCACCTGCTGTGCTGTCGTTTTTCTCTGCCGCTTCTACAACCTTGACACTAGGAGAAGATCCCTGAAATATCCGGATTTTTAAACGCCGTACATCAGTACCGGGAATAGTTTTTGCAGATGCAAAAGCAATACGTATACATAATGGGTTGTGGCTGTTCATAAAAACATACTCCCCTTCATCATTTTCATACATGAGACTAAAGTCAATCGTGCACGTTTTAGGAATTTCTTTCCTTATAACATCAACCAAATCAATGTAATTATTTGGTTCTGGAGTAAAAATTACCCTCTTCGTTTCCCCTATTTGTACTTGCAATTGAACTGTATCCATTGTTTATACAGTTAAATATTGATATTTGAAACCTTGCTTGAAACATGCACAAATGCTTTCTTGAAACGTACAAACGTAGCTATGTTCAATCAAAACATGTCGTTGCACCAATCAAAACGTGATATATTACGTCACTGATAATAACAGTTGCATGCTTCAAACGATTAGTTTCATTGGTCAAAAGGGCGTGATTACCCCCTGGAACGTTGTGTTTAAAACGTAAACTATTAATATTGTCTAAACGACCGGGTCAAAAGCACACAATGTAAACAAAATTTGAAACCAGAATTATAATTAGAAAGTTTAATGCAACATAAACATACGACTTTTATTCGACTATATCTGTGCGAATATTACAGGTACAATAGTTTTACGTATATTATCAGATAGCCGATGCATTCAGCTATTACATAATATTATTACATAATATTGTAGCTAGAATATTGAGCGAGAATTTGTTGCCTAAACGAGGGTGTAAAAATTGCCGTCGGAATATATGTTTGGTTTTAGACACGAGGTTCAACCGCTTATATTAATTTGAAATTTAACGACATACACCCCTAACGCGGATGGTTTGAAAGCTTGTGAAAATGGCTACATTTTAGTGGGATTTATATTCAGGTTAGCAGAAAATTCGCCGAGAAAATGTTCACAACAAACTGTTGTTATATGCCACGGAAAATCAAAAATATATTACATTTTCAAAATCTCGCCTTGCTGCGCATGTATAAAAGCACACGCATTTGAAGCTTTAACAAAAAAAGTTTTATATAAACCCGTAAAGACACAGTTGGAACGAAAGTTTATTAAAATTGAAACAGCCTATTTTCAAAATGATTTTCTTGAAAATTCGCCATTGTGACATTGAGTTTGCGTCCTCGTTTCACCGTATATCAAAATCGAGCTTCAAATCAACAGTATTGTCTATTGATAAATAGTATTCACTATAAAAACTAGCTATATAAAAACTAACCTTCACTGTGTTTCCTCCAGAATATTAAATAGAATATTAGCCTTGCACAAAATGCGATTTCTTGAGGTTGTTTGCTGCTTTAACTTGTTTGTTGGGATTTTCGGTCTCCTCGTGTCAGAGCCTCCGCCAAAACTTGACATATAATTAAATTAATTTCCATGTTTTGCAGATTCCGGCTTTTACAATTCCATGTTTTACAGATTCCGGCTTTTACAATTCCGGGTCATTCCATTCCCCGTTCCATGTTTTACAGGTAGCCTATTCTTTATTGTCGAAATATTCGGCTGTTTCATTCTAACGCAGATATACTGCGTTATAACCAAGACATATATAGCCATTTCCTAGGGGGCATAGCATAGCAACAAGTAGCTACAGGCAATTCTTGTGGCTTTTTTCCAAAGAAATAAACTATTTGCATGGGTTCACAATAACGTAAAGTCTACCATGCCAATGTGGTTTTACTCAAAAATTTTCTTGCTAAAAATGTATATACGCACATGACAAGTTGAACCTACTGTCTTCTTGTAAGTACTTTGGCTAAAATGACGACTTGAGCAAGAAGACCAACAGTAGGGTCACGATGATGCATGAGAAGTTCTTCTAAAAACTTAGTTTTAAACTAGATTGAACTTTGCTTTAATGCTATCAAAAACACGATCAACAAATTGTAACTACTCACTTGGATTTAGTGTCCATGTTTCTTGTGATTCCCTACTTCACTTTTCCGTTAGATTTGAAGAAAGTGCCGTTATTCTGGCTGAAAATCGCACGACTTGAGTTTGACAAGAACTTGACTTAAAACATGTGCACACTCCCTTTTGTTTTACAACATATTTTATATGTAAAACTCTTTAAAAACCTCTTCTTTTTCATCCTTAAAACTTGCTGCAAATTCCCATCTTGTGACACATCATGATTGTCACAGGTTTTGTAAAAAAATAGAGTTTTAAAATTGAAAATCTTTGCAAACTTTGATCAATTTTCTGACATGATGTTTTGTTTGAAAGCGCAAATTTTGCACTTTATACTTGTGACCGTTGCTAGGCAACCCGATAAACACATGTTAGACAATCGTGCCCGGAAGTTGACGCCCAGGGCGCAATGAGACATACCCTGTTCCTAATTCCAGGGTGCATGGGGGGCGCAATAAGACTTAATGAGTTAAAGCCATAATATGGCCTTCTTATATTATAATTGTATATAAATTATTGCTTGAAAAAGCATCAAAGCTGAACGTATTATAGTACAAGCTGTGATTTTTGCAGAATGTTTGCATCAAGAGGCCATTGCATCTCAAAGGCCTGGTAATCCAGGGACAGCATCTCTGTAAGGGATGGACAACATCTCTGTCAACTTTTCAAAAGCATCAAGAAAAGTCGATTTCCATCAACAAGAATCTGATCTAGGTTGGATGCGATACACTGTTCCATGACCAAAGTTTGAGCAAATAATAATTGGAAAAACTCTGCTGACGCAAGCAACATGTGCATAAGTGCTTATATGAATGCATTTGCATATGACTAATGATGACACTGCAGCACATACATATGTGTGCTCAAAATCATCCTGACAAACAGGTGCACGTCAGAAGGGGCTGCTTGTTAGCGTTCACAGCAATAAACAACACGGCATTTACACTAACTTTTGTCATGATAGATTTCATATTTTGTGCTTTGACAATTCTTATGGTTGACATAATTGGGGTCATTTTGGCTTGGTGCCTGTAAACGGATGTGAGTACTGTCAACACATCCAATTACACAAAGAAAACTTGCAATTTCATATATTCCCGCTCATATCATATTTTTGTCCTCCATTATTGTGGGGAATTTGGTCCACTGTTATTTGCAAGAGCAAGTGACACTCTGCTAGCAATTCTGGATATAGTGGCCTTGTCATAGCCATGGCTATCGCCTATTACTTGAAAAAAGCTGCCAAAAACAAAAAATCTTAGAGCAATAATCAATTGTTGATGGAGATTGCATGGTTTTGCTTTGTTAGTGGTCTCGCTATGAAAATTAAGGATTCTCTGTCAAAATGATAGCGCTTTAACAGTTCTTCATCTGAGAAACCTTTACAGGGAAGATGTGGATTAAAAACTGTAGGTATTAAAGCATTGCATGCCATTCGATATAATCTCGCTCATAAAAGTTTATCACTCTTAATAAAGCTGCCATTTTTTATTATGTTTTGGATAACTATACCCTAAAACATAGTTAACTTCTTTTTAACCGCAGTTAACGCTAACTACGTTTTTTATACAACTGGTCCCTGAAGATGACTTAAATTGTCAACACATAAAGAATGAAAGTGTTTACAATTTTTGGAGTGTCTATTGTTTTGTGTTTTATTAAAATACTCTATGGTAACTGAAATCACTACTATGTCAGTGGTTTTATGGTTTTGTATGTGATAAAATATCATGTTAATTTACATAAACTTCAGCTTTTATTTTTTCGGCTTAGACCACATTGATTTTTAAAATTACTTTGCCAATGTATGTACTCATGAGATGGGTCTGCTTAATCAGATATAAAACACTTGGTTGTTGCCTCATGTTTTATATTTTATTATTAACCCATAGATTTACCCAAAGCTGTATGCCAATCAGCAAATGTTGCCAATTGTTCAACACAATGAAAGGTTTACATATTTTGGTAGATATTTCAATTGTGTAATGGAGAACTCTGATTGTAAACACTGGTTGGTTTCAGAAACCTCTAAATTCAAGATAGAATTGTATGCATGTAAAATATCATGGCTCCTCATGGTTGCCGATATCAATATAACCATTGGATATGATATGTGATAATAAATTTAGAGAGTGGCTTGAAATGCCTGCAAATGGTACTTTGGACATCCTGTTTCAGGCTAAATCCAGATTCTGTCTTAATATTATTGATGTTTCAACAAAATTTACTCCATTCCATGCCAAGTTATCCTAAGAAACAAATTGAAAAACTCTCAGTGCTGTGACATCCACTCTGTATACAACAACACAAATAAGCACACTAACACTCAGTATGATCAATACCCGAGTGCCAAGGACGTCCTTAAAGAAATACGGGTAGATAAAATTGGCAATATCATAAATATTGTTATTAAAGCAATGTATGTGTGAGGAAGTGTTTACAGAAAATCTCAAACATTGGCAATCATCTATAAACAGCTTGTCAAAAACCATCTATAATTTTACAACAAGACACCTGAACAACACTCTACTGACCCTAAGAGACAAAGACGCCAACAAGTATATGCTAACAGTAATACTTTAGTTTACACCTCAGTGTGCACTGAATTTTTTCCATGATGTAGAGTGCATCACCTGTTTAAATCCTCAAACCTGCAACATGTAGTTTCCACCTGTAAAGTCCATTTAGAACATGGACATTTTACTTGGTGTCATCATAACACACATATTTGGAAAGTTCTGTGCCATATTCATATATTTTAATGTGTTCAAATGACTTCATGTGGTTCCGATATCTCACTTTGAAATTATTTGCCGTGATTCCAATGTATTCTTTTGTGTCTCAATCTTCTTTTGTTCTTACCACTGCCTTGTATACTATATTATTTGTTAAACATTTTTTCTGGAGTGGGCGTTCACTCGGGACTCTGCAATCACAATTTGATCAAGCTTTCCCGTCTTTTTTTTAGGGTTAAGGTTTCATCAAGGTTACATGGTTTACCAGTTGATCATTTATGTTGGCTGTGATTTTCAAACAGAATTGTAGAAATTGGGCAAAAAGGTTTCTTTGCTTGTCTGCCAACCTAACCAGTACAATACAATGTTTCCTTTACCAAATGTCATAGTGAGTGTATTTAATGCAAATACACATACACATATTTATTTCCAGTTACAGATATATTTACATGAATTTTCACTAGCCACAAGTAGCCAAGCTAATCGGGGCAGGTAGTGATATAATGTAATTATGAGAGGGGGATAATTATAGAAATAACTGAATTACAAGATAAAGAACTTAATAAGTTAAATAATTGCAGGTTTACAAAGTTACAAGCA